CATGTTTCTAGTCCCAAATGCCAAAATTTTATCTGTTGCTTCCTATATGTTTCAAGAATTTACTGGAAAAACACAGCCTTGGCACAGGGCAAATCTATCCATTAATGCAATTAATTTTATTAACTAATTAATGTATTAATGTGATTATTAATGTAATAATGTTGTATATTTACCTTCAGAACCCTTCCTAGAAATTGCCAGACTATAGCAAGTCCACTTCCCAACTCTTGTCACCCGTATCCTGGGACGGTAGGATGTGTGTATGTACACATTTTTATGCACAAACTCTTTCATCATTCTTTGTCACTTCCCTAACAAGGTTACCTCAATGGGATCTCATTGCCAGCCGCTCTTTCTTGACAATAAACTATGAAGTGGTATCCTGACATAACATTGTCATATCTTGGCCTTTCTCTTTCTCTGACTCTACAGTACGGATCCTTTTCTGTGATATACAGGGCAGGGCAACACTTGATCTTGACTATATCCATGGCAAATGACCATTCCCTCCCCACCAGCACCCACCTCATAGAAGAGTAACACATGATAAATGGATCTCCTTGTTGGTCAGGACACACATTCAAAAGCATATTGCTTCAGAATCCTTAACTTTACAATAGCTACTAACTCCGAGAGTCACACACAATGAGACAGATGGCATTCTCACCTTCAAGCAGACTTCAAGTGGTTGGCTGGGAATATTCTGCAATGGAACACACACACACACACACACACACACACACACACACACACACACACACACTGAAGGACAACCATAGAGTGGTCATTTAACACAAAATTGCAAATTAACTTTATCACTAGGATTTACTTAAACTTGTCCAGTTAAGGAGCTGGAGTACTTTACGAGAAAGCTTATTATGGTTTTTGAATGTTCAGAACTGAATGTAAGCCAACTTTGCTTTACACAGATCTCCTAATGGAAATAAAGTAACCCTCATTGTTGCCAAAAAGGGAATGTACATGCAAAAGCAGCACACAAGCAGTGCCCTAAAGCAAAACTCCAGAACCCAAAGTAATCAATGGTTCATAATTGATAATAGTCTCTGAAAAGAAAAATCAACATCAGCTGACCCTTTCATCATGAGCAAAGGAGAAATCCACTTTAGAAGTATCCAGACATGGGGTGTTACGTTCCAGGCATCAAAATATGCAGAAAAATTCAGTTACACGAGGCCTCGTGTTAGTGGCCAATCCACTCAGAGCTGTTGGATCTCCAATAGCCTTCAGCTATCCTCTCCTACTTGGTGGTACAAAGTGGGCCAAAGAGGGACGCTGATCCTGTTGATAAATAGTGTGAAATGCCCCATAGCAAATTCTGAATGATTTCAGGAGCTTCTAGTTCAAATTAATTGGTACATCCAAGTTGGGGTCCTGGCAAAAGGCTAGGCTCTCAGATGAGCTAGAGTTAAAATAAGGCAAATTCCCAGAAATACTAAAAGCTCAAAGAGATCAACAACTTGGTTGTTTTTTCTCCCCCTATTTTCATCAGTAACATGATACCACTCCCCATAAGGTTATACAGACATTACACAATGCCTAGCACTATGTAATATTTACCCACTTTCAAATAACACCTCTCTCACTAAGAGATCAACAAAGGAGAAGAGAAAGAAAAGGGGAGGTGGGGGCAGGGAAATACCAACACACTCTGTGTACAAGCCACCCTAGAGACACCAACAGGGAACAAGAGCTTAGATGAAACATTAATTTAACATGGGATGATTTACTTCCATATCTAAACATCAGAGAGAAAAATTTGAATTTTTGAATTATTAAAAATTTGAATTATTTGAATGACAAAGAACTTATATATCCTTATAAGGTTGTAAAATAGATGGAGTGACATGATGCTTATCAAAAACTGCTTCAGAGAATTCTAAACTAAAACTAATAAGTGTGCATTCTACAGGCTTGGGGAAAGAAGGCTTTTCTCAGATACATAAATTCCAAATTTATTCCCTTCATCCAATTTTTTATACCTTGTAAAACTGATGGCACCTTACAAGGCTAGTTCTTCTTGACATTTTTGACCAAATCTGCAACAGAGGATGGTTTTGCCACCTGCCCAGTAAACTTAGCAAACCTGCCTCTGGAGGTTCCCCCCTGCCTTTCCATGGTGCTTTGGATTGGACTAGAGAACAAGTATTTGCTCTAAAATAAAGCCATATCAAAGCAATGAGAGAAGATGAAGCAGAGAGTGGATTTCTAGAAAGCCATAACTTCTCACAGAGATGGGCCTAGGAGAAGGCAAGCTCTGTGTAACACACGGGAAGTATAAAGAGGGCCCTTTTTAGCATGACCTTTTTATGAATGCACATAATTTTCCTGCTGGAGAATCCCATTCTCCCTAGCCCCTAAGGATTGATTTTGTGATAAGTCAGGTTGAACATGTTGCAGAGAAAGGCTCCAGGGGACAGTAACACAGAAGAGGTGAACATTTCAAACTTTGCTTAAAGTAAGCCAGAAAAGCCTTATCCCAGCTCTGTTTGAAGAGAGGGGAGCAATTCTCCATATATACTATAGTAAATACCAACAGAGTTGAGGGGAAAAGAAAACATTAAAAACTAAACTTTGCTATCTCCTTCCTTGTCAGAATACACTGATAGCAGTTTTTCAAAGCCTGAGATCCATAGGACCACAGTTCTCATCTTCCTGGGGGGAAGAATCAGCCAGGTCACCACACAAAGCCAGGACTTTCTGGGACCCCTTCTTTCCAAAGTCGAAATTGTTTGAATTTTCATTCTGGTGAATCTGTTATCACATTAAAGCCACTCTGCTTTCCTTTCTACTGGTCCTTACAGGTGGCACATCTAGGATAGGTCAGGAAAGAATGGAATTGTGTTCAAACCAAAAACACTCAGCAAGAGTCACACTCCCATGTTTGTCTTGCCTTCATCCAAGACATATCTCTGCTTTATTACAGCTCTCCTCTTCCACCTCCCAGTGGGCAAAAAAGATAGATCCTCTCCTTTTCCCTCTTCCACTCTACTCTTCACAGAATCACCCCCTCTCTACAGTAGCCCCACCCTCAATGCATTGCCTAAGTGACAAAGCTCTCCAGGCTGTTGTTCCTCTGGCCCAGGGTTGGAACACAACACAGTATTCTGTTCTACTCCTTCTCTCAGGAAGAAGGACCACATTTAAGACAAAGGTTCCAGTTTGGAATTACAGGAGGGTAAAAGCCATTCTAGGTAGGTAGGAGCTTCCAAGATACCACAAGGAACCCAATTACAAGGTTATTTATTTGGCCTGACCACAAAGGAAATCCTACTATTCCTAAACTCTGCAAGTTAGAGTCCTTTCTGCTGGCAGTATGTTTCTGATATTTCTCTCTGCCTAACAATGCCCTAGCAATCTGCCTACCTTACTCGTCCTCAAATGAACTGAAACTAGTAGCCCCTAGCCACTCAAACTGATGTAGGCTGCAAGTGGAAGCTGGAGGATTGCCCTAGTCTGGTGGGATTCCATGCCATTTAAGCTCAGCTCATTCAATTTCCTTTTCTCCATTTCTTTGTCTCACCCTTCTTTTTCACTTCCTCCCATCTCTTTTTTTCCCTCCCCCTACAAAAAAAAAAAGAAAGAAAAGAAAAAGAAAGAAATATGACAAAGTAAAGAACTGATGCTGTCTGGCAGAAATATCTGGCAGTCTCACCTCCCAGTATCTGGGAGAGAAGGGCCAGCTAACTCAGAATCTCTCAAGTCTGACCTATCTCAGTGGGTGAACTCTGGTTTTGAGAAGGCCGAGTGCAACAAAGGTAAGAGGAAACATCCCTGGGCTGCCTTCACAGTTGGTAGTTACACGAGAAACCCAAATCCTTGCTTGCCTGCCTTCCAGGATCTTGCAGTCTGATTGAGATGGCAGATGAACAAGGCAAACTGGCGATGCCAACTCCAGTTTCCCCCGTGAGAACTAGTACATCTGCAAGCCATTCTCAGGGACCATTGTCAGTTGTCATTCCAGCAGAGAATGCCTCCTGGCCCAGCTACGTTGAACTCAGACCCATCTCCCTCCACCCACCGTTCGGTCCAACTCCGAGGACTGCCCATGATACACTGCTGTCAGCTCCGCAAAGCCCAGGGATTCAATACAAAGATCGGTCTGAAGCATCCGTATAGAAGGGGGGGAAAGGTTCCCCAGAGATAGTGGATATCTTAGGGGAATCGATAGGAGTCTCAACAATTCAATCTGAGACTTTATGAGATGTGAAGAGAAAGAAAAACCTCTCGCTGCAACTCTCCCTTCCTAACATAGCCTTTCCTGTAAGTTCTCGGACTCAGGCGCTAGCAACTTGATTCACCTGAAAGGGATCCATTCATTGAGTGCCCATCATTTCCTGCCCCCGGCTCCCTGCTCCACCCCACCCCCGCCCCTCGCTGGAGGGTGACCACCTGGAAAACTACTAATCCTTGAGCCCCAGCTCCATTTCTGAGGGGGAGCCCCAGAGGAACTCTCCGCTGGGATAGGACCCCAGCACGTAACTCGGCAAACTTCTGGGGAAAGTGCTCTGGGGAGAGAAGGGGCGCAGCCTCCCCACCCGGGAGGGAGGTGCGTTGCCTCCGACCCCCGACAGCTGGAGTTTGAGGGTGGGTTGACAGGGAAAAGAGATGCACTGCCAAGCTGACGGGACACCTCTTCCCACCTCTATCCGCTTTCTTGGACTAACTCTTCAGTTTTTCCCCGCTCGTGCAGACGCACCAGACGCACCCCGAAAGCCTCCCTTCACTCAACCCCTCGGTGATCCCTTAAAATTTTTCAAAGCTGAAACCGTAAACAGAGAAAAGTAGCGACGGTCGTCAAGTTAATCGGGAGGACGGGGGGCTGAAATGGGAGTGATCGGGGCGCACTGGTCCCCCACTCTCCATCATGTCCACCCAAAAGCCAGAGAAGGAGCAGTGCCGGGCTATTCCAGGGAGGAGACGAAGAAGGACGGGACTAGGGGGGGCACGAAGAGAAGAAAAGGGGCTCATTGGTCACTTACGCTGCTGTTCTCGCCGGTCCAGTGCACCATCGCCTGGTTGTGGGTTGCATCCCCTTTGAGCACAAACGAGGTGCTGATCAGAGAGACCTGCGCCCTGGGGAATGCTCCAGCCGCCGCCGCGGCTCTCCGAGAGCGACTCTTCCAAGCAGCTGGGTCGCCTCCTTCCCCGATACTGAGTGCGCTCAGGTCCGCGCCTGCCTCCGGCTCCCCGCCGCCGTCACCATCACCATCACCGCCACCACCAAGGAGGGACTGATCCAGAGGGCTTCTTCCAGACCGGGTCACCCAAGAGCAGGGACCTTCGCCCCCCAGCTCTGGGCACCGCAGCGCAGCCCCCGAGGTACAGAGCAGCAGCAACAGCAGCAGCAGCAGTAGCAGCAGCGGTGGCGACAGCAGCTGCGCTCCGGGGCTCCGGGCTCTCCCCTCCGGGAGGGTTCGCGTCCGAAACTGGGGTGTCCCCCTTTGCGCCATGATCTTCTTCTGATGCGATAGTGACAGGCTGGGATGGGAATGTAAGACAGATACACAACCCTAGGAGGAAGGGCAGGAGGGAAGGAAGGAGGGAGAGAAAGCTGGAGAGCGAGAGAGCGCGAGAGGGAGACGGGAGGAGGAGGGGAGGGAGGGAGGAGGGTTTGTAACCAAAGCGAGGATTTACATAGGAGCCACAACTTGCTTGGGAGCTCCAGGCTGAGTCAAGGAGACGCATCGCCATCTGCCGGCCTCACCAAGTGGGACTTGGGCTTCCCAGCATCCAAAAAGCAGTCAAGAGGAATCATAATTTATTTCTATAAGCCTTTCCTTCACGTTTACAAAAGGCTCAAGATTCCTGTGAGGTAAAGCTCCAGTTGACAGAGGAAGACACTAAGGCCAGAGAGGGCAGTCCACTTACCCAAAGTCACACAGCAAGTGGCAGAATACAGACTAGAACCCAGGACTCTAAACCAGGCCTCTTCTCATGACACTATTCCTCCTCTATATTGAGTAAATACTCTGTTGCTCTGGCTACAGCCAAAGAGGAGAAGGACCAAGAAGACAATTAGGGCTGAGTCACAAACTCAGAGGGGAGTCAGGAAGAGTAAGGAAGTAGATAAAAATCTACAGGAATCAGCTACTGAATCACAGCTGTTGAATGGTCTCACCAACTTGTTATTGGTAGTAGTGATAGCTCATATTTCTTTAGCACTTTAAGGTTTACAGAGTACTTTCTTCACAGAGCTATGAGGTAGGCAGTCCATTTTACAGAAAACTAAACTGAAGCTCAAAAAGGATAATGGCAGAGAAGATTGAACATCTCCAGCTGAAAAGGACCTCCAAACCTCATTTTACAGTCTGAGACCCAAGAAGGCTAAGTGATTTGCCGAGTCATACAGGTGTTAAATGTAAGGAGGGTTTTGAATAGAGGTCCTCTTTCACAATAGAGGTTTTCCTTAACTCCCTCTTACTCCATTCTCATCAGGATAAAGAAAATTATGTTATCAGTATAAGGCAATTTTCATTTCAGTTTTGATGCATTTTCAATTCAATTCAACAAACATTTATTATGTACCTCTTCTTCTCAAATATCGATGGTAGGTCAGAACTAGTATCAGAGCCCAAGTGAGATGTACCGGGAAAGATAGCTATGTCCTTGATAATGAGCACATTTACACTGGAATCCTCTTTTCAAACAGGAAAAAAAAATCTGAATGGCCTCCCTCTATGATCTGTTTCCATGCATCTTTACTTTTTTAAAAAATGATTTGGGTACATGAACCTCAAAAGTTGGATTTGGGCCCAGGAGCTCTGAAAGCCCAGTCTCCATAGAGAGGAGGGGATACATCAGAAGGCAGGGGTTAACCCTCAAACATTTCATAGAGTTGGAGAATCTATACTGTCTGAGGCTCCAAGGTCTCTCTTCAAAGTCAATATACATGAATCTTTTGAAGTCATGGGGCATTTCTTCTCCAACATAACCATACTTTTCTACCTCTCTCTAAATTGGATAAGGCATTTTATCCAAAGCTCTGTAATATTCTTTGTTTCTGACTCCCCAAATGTATATTAGCCACTTGGGTTCTAATCCATCAACCACTCAGACTGAAAGGTTAAACCTAAGGCCTGAGGGAGGAAGGAAAGAGGGAGCACATAGAAATGTGAAGAGGCATCTGGCATTAGAGAGATGGGAGAGGTACCTCAGTCAAAGCAGAGGTTGCTAGAAAGGCCATGAGAAAGATGGAGGGAGGGATCTGGGAAGGGTGTCACCTGGAGCAGACCTTCCTAAGGTCCTGATTGAATTACTATGGTGGATGGAATCTAAGCTGGTAGCACCAGAGCAGTCCACCTCTGAGCTCTAAACTGCATAATGTAATTAGTTTTCTCTCCACTTGATCCACAGAAAACTAAGATCACTGAAAAGAGTGACCGTGTCTTCTGATTCTGCCACAGAGTTCAGCATTGGGCTAAAACATACCTTAAACCTCAGTAAATCCTTGTTAGGTTGATTAATGTCACTCTAACCACTTTAACTTTTACTTGATCCACCAGACAGTGAAGAATTCTCTCGCTGGCCCCTTCATGCCCCCTTCCCTATGTTCATCATACTCATACTCTCTCACAGCTATTCAAACTAAAAATATCAATGCCTTATTTTAAAGCACCATCATATCTTTTATCTCACTATATTCTCTTAAAAACCCAAGTGGATCTGTGATCTCATCAGTTCTGGAGTTCTCTCTTACCCATCCAAGCCTGCCTATCCTGTTCAAATCTTGTGCCCCAAAAGTTTGTCACGGGTTCCACACTACATGGTGGAGGGCTGTCTCGGTTTCTTCTGACTCACTCCATCCGAATAAATAAAATGAGGTAGATAGAGCAGGCAATATTATCTGCATTTCCAATTCAAATCAACCCCCCAAAAAAACTACCTACTGTGTGCCAGGTACTGATAGTTGAGGAAGCCAAAGGACAGAGAGGTTAATTGAACATAGTAGCTGCTTAATAAATGCCTGTTGAATTGAACTGATTAGTTTAGGGTCAATGGTAGACCAGTGGTTGAGCTGGGATTAGAACCCAATTATTCTAACTTTCATCCCCAGGCCCTTTCCACTAATATACACCAGATGATTCTTGTTTGTGACTATTGCTAATAATTATAAGCCAATTTCTATAGCAATTTGAAGTTTACAAAGTGTTTTCCACACAACCATTCTATGAGGTAGGCTGTGAAATTTTTATCCCCTTTTAGGGTGAGGTAATTGAGTTTCAGGGAGGGTAAATGATTTGTCCAGGGTCAAAGCCAGCAAGTGCTAGGGCTGGAATCAAATCCAGGTCACCTGATTTTAAGACTAGGGTAGTGAATGAGTTTAGCTAATACTATCTTCACTATAAGTGGGAGGAAGGAAGAAAGGAAATACACATGGTTATTTTCTGCAAGAACCCCCCAAAATGAAGGAAAGAGGAATTAATTAAAACATTATAAGTTGTCTGAAAAAAGTCTATAGTGGGGAGCAGCAACTTAACAATTGAAATCATAGTGAAGATACAAGTGAGGTTTTATTGTCTGGTCAAATGAGTCCCTGACACACATACACACACACTCTGTGTGTGTGACATTTGTAGAATGGATGGATGCAACAGGCAGGTAATTATGTGTTGGGGAGGGAAGTGGTGTCATATGTTTGCTCTGTGTTCTGCGTCTGGCACTTCAAGCATCCCTGATAAATATTAAAACCCAACCATGAGCCACAATATGAGTAAGGTTAAGAAAGGGAAAACAAAGCCTGAGACTTACCTGCCGAGCAGAAGGGTCAGAAAGGAATTTGCAAGCCTCACTCCTTTCCTGCCCTCCAACCCTCAGTGAGATATCCCCAGATGAGGGTGTACTGTGGATATGAGGTGCTCAGATTACTGACTGAGAAAGGATTTCAGACTGAAAGAACAGACACTCATCTGTCTGTGTTTGATAATTCCCATAAACCCCAAAGTGATTTTTTAAAAAACCTCTCACTTCTCACCTTTTAATCATAACATTTGTTCATTAAAATTTCAGGATTTTTTAATTATTGGAAGTCTCTAGTGATGATAGATTAATTTATCTGTATAAATGTGACAATGTTCAAATTGTATAGATTCCCAATGTGAATCTTTAACCCTGCTCAATGTTTCCTAGAATACTCTGGCTGAATCTCTCCTTTGCCCCATGACATTCTACCTCGTAGCATCCTAATCAGTGTTTATGCTAGATCTCCCCTTCACCCATCAGGCAGACTCTAAGTTACCTGAGGGCAGAAAGGACTGTGCAGTTTTTTGAGGGGGGTTTGTTTTAATCTCTGATTCCTCAGTGCCAAGCAGAGTTCCTTGGATATATGAGAATGTACAGAGGATCTGTGATTTTACCAATATAAGAAACTCCTGATGCAGAGACTCCTTTCATCAATAGGGATCAAAGAGTTAAGCCCTGGGGAATTGCTTGTAGCACAGAAAAGTTAAGAGACTTGTTAGAGAAATGGAGGTTGGGCAGAGTGGCACCCAACTAGTAAATGTGGGCGGGGAGGAATTTGAATCTAAGTCATCTGGATTGCAAGCCCAGCATTCTATCCACTTTATTTCTATGTAGCTTTGGACATAGGAGGTATTTAATAAGTTGTGAGTTAGAATGAAAAGACTCTAAAGCAAACATCAAAAATACTTGTTAAACCCTTAAAGACATAATAACCAGAAGTTGTGCTATTAGCTTAAATTGACAAAGGTGACTATTAACACATGACACACAGACACAAACAGTAACACTTTTCCTTACGGCAACAGTTCTTAAATTTGTTTGGCTTCAGAACCCCTTTACTGTCTTTAAAATCATTGAGGACCCTCCCATGAGCTTTTATGTGATTTATATCCATAGATATTTACTGCATTAGAAATTAAAACATCTTATTATTATGACAATAGTTTGACTTTGCAGATTTCCTGAATGGGTCTCCAGGACTCCCAGAGATCCCCAGATCTCTTTTTGAGAACTGCTACCCTACAAGGCAGATTTAGTGCCAGGAGGTGGAAATTATAAGGAGGCTGATTTCAACTAGATGTAAGGAAAATCTTCTTCCCACTCAAAGCTATCCAACAACACATCTAGCCGGGCTGCCTTGGAAGAGAGTAGGTTCGCCTCTAAAGGTCTTTCAGCAAAGCCTGGATGCTCTAGGGTGGAATTTCATTTTGTTGGGATGAGACGGATTACTATGGCCTCTGAGGTCTCATCCAACTCGGAGATGCTGAGATTGCTAATGTACAGGAAACTATATATGTGCTGTAGGGAGTTGTTGGAATGAAGTTTAAAAAAGTATTTTAATGATTTTCAAAAAACAAGAGGCCATAGGTGATATTTTTATTGGCATGACTAAAGAATTATAATCTCTCTATCCAGCTCTTAGGAAAAAAAGCAAGGCAGAATAGTAGATGAATGGTCAAAATGTTAATTCAGGCCAGAAGCAAAAGAATGGAGGGGGGGAGGACATAAGCAGAGCTATAGGAAGAGGAATCAGAAATAATCAGCGATCACTTATCTAGGCCAAGCTATTACATGCCTATGGCAATCAAAAATAAAGAAAAGAGAGAGTGGAAGGGGAACAAAAAACTGGTGGAGGGGTGATATAAAGACTATTGAGCAAAGAGATTTCTCATCTTCTGAAGCATTACCACTGTGGGGAGAGAAAAAATTAAAATACCTAATATGTGGATTCCAGGCACGAAAGAAGACTTAGAAACTAGGAAGAGGGACAAAAGTCAAGAAGACAATAAGATCGATATACTTTGGGTGATGCATCCACAATCATAGGAGGGATCAGTCAGTGGTTTAGAATCATGGGCCTACTCAGAATTATAGAATGTCAGTTCTTAGAACATATCAGGTCATATTATTAAAAAATACAGTCTGATGAGTGGAAAGGGCTTTAAAGTCTAATCCAGCTCCCTTCATTTTTGAGATAAGGAAACTGTCGCCCCACAGAAGTTAAGTGATTTAACTAGTAATACATGTTGAACTAGAACTCAGGTAGATCTGGTTCCCAGTCCAGTCTTCTTCCCAGTGCATTTCACCTCCTTAACCTGTGTTCTCTGCTTCTTCTGGCCTACTGTGAATGCTAATCAACATGAAATGATCTTCTGGACTCTTATCTCTGAGATCATCAGTCTCTCCAAATGAATGGCTGAGCATTTGGGAAGAACTTAGGTATGGTTCAGTTCTAATCAACAACCATTTACTGAGTGCCTCCTGGGTGTAGCTTAGCATACTATAGAGCTTAGTATACTACAGAGGATACTTATTTTGATTCCTTGATAGACCCAGGAACTTATCGAGGTAGATATTCCTCATAGTATGACAGAATAAAACCCCTCCCTGCTTTCCACATCTTTGAAATTCTTGTGGGTCTCTTTTCAGGGCCACGTAGGGGCTCTCCCCAACTCACTGGAGAACCTTCCTTTGTCTTCATAATATTCTGTGGATTTCAAGGTAGCACTCAGGTCGTCTATAGCGTAATCCCTCACTTTCTTTACCATACTGGCCCCATAGGGGAGCAGTGGGGGGAAACACACAGCAACAAGGCAGCACATTACAGACAGAGTACCAGGCCTGGAGTCAGGAAGATATGAGTTCAAGTCTGGCCTCAGACATTTACGAGATGTGTGACTCTTGGTAAGTCACTTAATCTCTGTTTGCCTCAGTTTCCTTATATGTAAAATGAGGATAATAATAGCACCTACTTCCTCAGGTTCTCATGAGAAGCAAATAAAATCATTAAAAAATACTAACCACAGTGCCTGACGCATACTAAGCTCTATATAAATATTAGCTACTAGGATGATTATTCTTTCAAGTCTTATGTGTCCTTGTTGATGTCACTTCTTATATCTGACATCTTGGCAGCTCATGTTCTTTGAGACACCCACCCTTTTGAGATCATGCTTTTGAGATCATGGTATACAGTCAAGAAGCATCACTGAAAGATTACTGATGTTAAAAAAGAAACACATTTTCATGGATCAAGGAAAGGAACCCACTGAATCACAGAGAATGTAATGGAATATTATCATACAGTAAGAAATAATGTATATAATGAATACAGAGAAGTATGGGAAGACTCATATGAACTGACACCAAGTGAAGTAATCAAAACCAGGAAAACATTCTCTCTCTCTCTCTCTCTCTCTCTCTCTCTCTCTCTCTCTCTCTCTCTCTCTCTCTCTCTCTCTCTCTCTCTCTCACACACACACACACACACACTCTCATTCTCTCCCTTTCCCCCTCTCTCATTCTCTCACTCTCATTCTTTCTCCCTCTCCCCTCTCTCTCATTCTCTCCTTCCCCTATATTATATATATATATATATATATATATATATATACCCCTACACACACGTACTCACACACATATATACATACATACACACACACACACACACACAGAGACTACAATAATGTAAAGTAACAATTACAATGGAGACTGAAAATTATGAAATTATAATGATCAAGCATGACCCCAACATAGTGCTATTGGAAAACACTTACCCCTTCCCCCCCACTTCTTTGCAAGGGGCCAAAGACATGGAATATTGCATATATTATGAAATTTTTATGAGTTGGCTAGTTATGCTGAAATTTACTTCTCTTTCTTTCAAAAAATTCTTTATTGGAAGTGATGGATTTCTGGAAGTGGGCAGGGCGGGAAGGAATACAGTGGGGAAAGGAGGTAATATCAAAAGTAAGCATCAATATAATTTTTTTTAAAAGATGAGCTTCTGCAGCAGTGAGTAACTGGGGATCACTACAAGTGATGAGCCTGTTCCTGAATTCAGTGCAGTCTCATCTCCTCCTCTTATTCAGTTCTGGGCCCAGATGCCTCTTCAGTGCCAATGTGAGATGGGGGGTTGGGGAAGAAGTATATAATATGATCCCTTGTCATGCAAACACCAAAGATCTTCTGGAGGAGATACCACTGCACACAAAGCAATTAGATTGTGCTACAAAACAGGAATCAGTCACTTAACAAGTACTACGTGCTAGGCACTATGACAGAGGGTGGGGACACAAAGTCAAAAGTTCCACTGCTCTTGGACAGCTAGGTGGCACAGTGGATAGAGCACTGGCCCTGGAGTCACAAGGACCCGAGTTCAAATCTGGCCTTGGAGACTTATTAGCTGTATGACCCTGAGCAAGTCATTTAACCCTGATTGCCTATAAAAGAAAAAAAAGTTCCTCTGCTTTCAAGGAAATTATGTTCTTTTAGGAGCGATTACACGTACATATATATAATTATATAAGATAATACATGGTAGTGTGGAAAGGAGGGCACAAGCAGTTGGAGGAAAATCCATAAAGCCTGAATTGAAGGAAGAAAGGGATTCTACTGGGGAATGGAGTGGGAGAAGCAATCCAGGCGTGGGAGACGGACAATGGTACGGAAAGGGAAGAGTGCCATGTGTAAGGAAAAGGAAGGCTAATTTGGCTGGAAAATTAAAATTGAGAAGCTAGAAAGGTAGGTTGTGAAGGGTTTCATGTGCCAAACAGAGGAGTTTATTTCTTATCCTAGGGGTAACAGGGACAACATTTATTGTTGATTAAGCATCCAAAAATAGGCCAGGAGAAGCAGAGAACACATGTAGAGGCAGGGAGATACACTGGGAAGAGGCCTAGACTGGGACCTAGGCCTGCCTGAGTTCTAGTTCTAACCACCCCTAGCTAGTGGATATATCACTTAGCCTCTCGGGGGACAGTTTCTTTATCTCAAAAATAAGGCAGTTGGACTAAACAATCTTTAAAGTCCTATCCAATCATTAGATTGTATTTCTTAGGTCCAATCTAGCTTTGACCTACTATGTTCTAAGATGTGACATTCTATAATTCTATGAGTAGGTCCATAACTCTGAATTATTGCCTGACCCCTCCAGTGATTGTAGACTGCATCACCCAAACACCATTGATCTTATTATCTTCTTAACTTCTGTCCCTGTTCCCAGTTTATGAGTCTTCTTTCACTGCTGGAATTCCGCAGTATTGAACCACTCAAGTCTGAGTAAGGGAGTGACAGTCATATCTGTGCTTAAGGAAAATGCCTTTGGCATGCCTCTGTGGAGGATGGATTGGTACATGTAGATGATCAAGTACCCTAAACCACAAAGAGACATTTATAACATAAATCTAATAAAGTGTGAAGTTGAGCAAAATGACACTCATGTATCACTTTAAGGTTAAGTGCTTACCTTGATTCAACCCTGCAAGGTAGACAGTGCAAAAATTATTACCATCATTTTACTGATGAGGAAACTGAGGCTCGGAGGGATTCACACGTTCACGCAGTTAGAGGTGTCAGAACTGGGATGAGTATATGAGTGTAATCAACTGGGGGCAACCAGATGCCTCAGTGGATAGCACTCAGAAAGACTTCAGTTCAAATCCAGCCTCAGATACTTATTAGCTCTGTGATCCTGGGCAAGTCACTTAATCTCCATTTGCCTTAATCCACTGGAGAAGGAAATGGCAAACCAGTCCAGTATCTTTGCCAGTAAAACTCCACGGACAGTGCGGTCCTTGGGGTCACAAAGAGGTGGACACAATTGAACAGCGGTATAATCAACTGCTCCAAATATCGAGTAGAGATGGATCCTGTGGGTCATCAAGAAGGGATAAAATGAGAAGAACATCTTCCTTTTATCATTAGAGTGCCAGAAGTGAAATGGAACATATTGCTTCCAGCTTGTACAATGGTAAATCATAGAATCTGAAAGACAGAAAGAAACTTTGAAGAAAATAAAAATTTTAAAATTAAATTTAAAAATAAATAAATTTTAAGAAAGAATCTAAGAGGTTACCTAG